GCGGGCACTACACAATTTTCTAATCAATAAAGCGGACACTACAAAGTGTTGTAATGAAAACAGCGGACACTACACAATTTTCTAATCAATAAAGCGGACACTACACAATTTTCTAATCAATAAAGCGGACACTACACAGTGTTGTAATGAAAAAAGCGGACACTACACAATTTTATAATGAATAAAGCGGACACTACAAAGTGTTGTAATGAAAAAAGCGGGCACTACACAATTTTCTAATCAATAAAGCGGACACTACAAAGTGTTGTAATGAAAACAGCAGACACTACACAATTTTCTAATACATCAAAGTGTTGTAATGAAAAAAGCAGACACTACAAACCAAAGTGTGGGAAATAATTCCCCACCCAAATGCGCAGTGTGCCTGACATCAGGTGTGTCAGAAAAAAGTGTAACCCTTTTCCCAATTAGGAAGTCGCCCAATTAGGAAATAGTGCGCACATCATCATTAACAATGACCACACCATGCTAGCCATTAATTCTTCTGGCCCAAAAAGCGTGGGAAACAGTTCCCAACCTAAATGCACACTGTGCCTGACATCAGGTGTGGCAGAAAAAAATGTAATGCTTTTCCCAATTAGGAAATAGTGCACACATCAATGCATATACTACACATGGGTCAAACCCATTGGTAAATATCTGTCAACAAACATCCCAATGAGGGTATTCTGTCTACAAAATAATAGGTAAATCCCCTGTCCCCTATATTAAAAAAATCCCAAGTTTTTCTCTTAAATATAGGACCCCAGACACCCCTTGTGGCTGAAAAAATATATCCTTAGTCAACCCTAGCTGCAAAATATATCCCAAGTCCATCCCAGACAAGAAATATATTTCTACATTGTGACAGTCACAATTCAGGGTCCAGGCATAAGAAATATATTTGGAGTCCATTCCAGTGAGGAAATATATTTAGTGTGACATTGGACAACAAAATATATTTAGGTAAAAGTGGAGATATACAAGCCCAGAATATATACACTATAGATATACACCCTGACATTTACTCCCATAGTATTCATGGAGTTTGCAAGACTAACAGTCAGTTGTCAGTGGGTGACTGAAGTGCAATTGTAGTCGATAGACCATGGGATTGATCTTTTCAACTACTTCGAAAGGTCTGATCATTCGCTGTACCAACTTCTTGCTGGTGCCTTCAACGTCAACTAACTCTAGGGTATGCAGGTTTACTAACGCGAAGTCTCCGACTTTCAATTCTTGGACAGGTCGCCTCTTTTTATCATAAGCTTTAGCTTGTCAATCCTGAGCTAAGGCGATAGCGTCCTTTGCGAAATTACAATGTATCTCCAGTGTTTCGACAAAGTCTTCAGCTGATTGACTCGGAAGGAAGGGGATGAGCAGGGTCAATTTCGGGAACTATCGCGCTTACTGATGTTCTCGGATTATATCCCATAAGTAGGAAGTTAGGGGAGTATTTAGTGGACATATGTGTGCTGCTGTTATACGAGTAGGTTAGAACACTAAGCCAGCTTGACCAATTCTCCCGATCAGAGGAGACATAAGCATGGAGCATTTGTTCAATAGTAGCATTGAGAATTTGGTTTGTCCATCCGTTTGCGGATGATGCGCAGACGAAAGTGCCATGACACTACTGTAGTTGGAGACAACGGATCTCCAGAAGACGGTGGCCCAAAGTTTATCTCGGTCCGAGATTATTATTTCAGGCAAACCATAGACATTAATGACCCTCTCGATGAATAACTTAGCAAATCCTTCTTGTGTCAAGGTAGTATGCATCGGAATTTTAATGGCAAACTTGGTAAGTTTGTCAATGATAACCAGTATTGCAGTATACTTTTGGTCTCCAGACGGCGGTAATCCAGTTATCAGGTCCATAGAAACTGTGGAGAAGGGTCTGGATGGTATATGCGTGGGTCTCAACGCGCCCATCTTTGCCCAATGGTCCAATACCGAACGCGAACCTTCTGGCCGGGACGTGCACTCAACAGGTGGGGGTGTAAAGCTTTGTTGCATATAATTGACAGCCAAGCCCAATTCTATAAACGAAGTCAGCAAAGAATAACGAGTTTCATGAATTTTTTACCTGGCCGCATTGCTAACTCGGGCACGATCCACTCCATCTCACTGGCTGGCGGCCCAATCTCCCAGCCCTTTCCTTTGTCAGTGTTGGTACCGACCTCGGTCTCAGTGCTCTTGAAAATTGCCAATGTGTGTGGTGTGGGTGGCTCAATGATTATGGTGGGAGTCACCCGGCCCACGTCTTTGTCGGCTTTTGGACTGGCACCGACCTCGGTTTCCTCATGTTTGACTTCAGCCATCTCTATGTCGATACCACCCTTGAACTTCCCCTTTCCCATTGTCAGACCAACCTCCATGTCCACGTCAATTGCATGCTCCACATCATGCCCGACTGTGGCCATTTCGACATCCTGCTTGTCCTTCTCTTTGACATCCGGCTTCACCTTCTTCACCTGCGGCTTCTTTGACCTCACTTTCTTCCTCACGATCTTCACTTGGGCATCTCCCCCGGAGACTGTGGCCATTTCAAGATCCTGCAACCCCTTTTGGATCTCGTCTTTGACCTCACTGTCGGTGTCCTTTTTCTTGGTTACTGCATATGTGCAGGTCGTCTTACCCGTACTGCAGGTGAAGCAGGATCCTTGTTGTGGGGGGGAACGGATAGTGCATGGAACAATGTCTCGATCTTGGCGTTTGCTGCAGGCCTCACAGGGGATATCCGCAAGCTGATAATTGCCTTTCGCAATCGCGGCATTCTGATTTGCAAGACGTTCGGCAGTTTTGGCTTGCCTTAAAGCGGCCATGGCGGTCTTGGGAGGACCGGCGTCGGGGTCTAACTTGGGCCTTCGGATGAGACTGAAGCTGGCACTGGGTGTCATGCGGGAGAAATGGGGCTGGGACTTGGGTTTAACCGCCTTTGCTTCCCCACCAACCAGTCGAAGTGACTCCGACTTCGGCTTCAATGTTTCCTCATCACTGCTGCTGTTGATGAACTCCACGCTCACGACTCTGGTCTTCTTTGGCCTGGCTTCGATCGAGTCCCCTTTTCTTTTTTTGCTTTGGACTGGGGCAGCGGTGTCGTTAGGAGTCACCTCTGATTGTGGCTGGGCGCTGGACCCGGCCTCGGGTTTCCTTCGCCCAGACTTTGTCTTACTCTTGGTCTTCGTTTCAGCCGCTGGCACAGGATCGGTTGATTTTGCCCGACGTGTTGGTTTTGTTGGGGCCGGGAGCGATGATGAAGCTGTCGGTACCGGCAATGGGGGAGTTGGGACTGTGACTGGGAGCAATGAATCGGTCGAAGATGGAGGTAAAGGGGGAGAGGGACCGGCATAACCTTCCATAAAGAAGGTAGGGGTGGTGGGTTGTGGGATCGAGAACATTTTGGTCCAATCAACCGATGGTCCCGCTCAGGCCATTTCCGTGTACGCCAAAATCCAAGGGTGGTTGAGCCACTGGGCCGCGTTATACCACATATTCTTGTCGATGAGCAAACATACAAATCGTTCCTGTAGGAGAAAGAGATCCAATTTCAGTCAACAAATCATTGTTAGTCACTCACAGCTTTCCCGTATGCATCCTCTTCCACCGTCCATTGGTGGGCCAGAAGACCTTCCCTGTGACAGTTGTAAAAGTTCAAAAGCGTGGAGGTGGCCACCCTAACATCCTCCAAGAACCCGGGAGTGAGGGTATGGGCCTGTTGAGCGGCTTGAGCAAGTTCAGCAGTGGACATGGTAAGTGGGAATGGGATGATCGAGGGTGGTGAATGTGCGCGTCGGAATGGGACAATGGTGAATGTGAAATTACGAAGTTGTAAACGCGGTCACGTGGTGGCGTTACTTCAACCGAGATCCGTACAATGTTCAACCGAGATCCGCAGAATGTTCCATGGCCGATCTGCAGTGGCATGCTTTCCCACCGTTGAAAAGCAATGCGTCTTCATCACCAACCACACAGTGCAATCCCAGGAAAAGCTATCTACTCTCTGACTGATATGTCTTTAACAAATCCAGGTATTGTCCCTACTCCACACCAAGGATTGTCTACTTAATGTAGATAAACAGAAGCTGTGATGAAAGACCAAGAAATGAAGGATGGTAAGTTTTATGTACTCTTGTCGGCTGAGCAGTTCTAACCATATCTTAGGAACGGCCGAGGCTCTACCCCCTCTTCAACCAAGTGGTGAGTTCCAGTCAGTGACAGAAAACTAGCCAAACCTAAATTCTGGGTGGCCGATAGGACAGAGCCAAGAATCTGAACTAGTGATGGAAGTGGACGTCCCATCCTCGGCTCCTCACAGATCCATTTTCGATTTCAAAGAACCTACCCCTGCTCTAAGTTCCAACCCATTCACCCCAGCCTCAGCTCACCAATCCATTTTCGAGTTTAAGAAAGTCGGTACTTCAGCTTTTGCCCTGACCTCGCAATACTTTACCATCCCCCACATAATCCACATGGACTCCACTGGATTCCACTGGACTGGACTGGACTGGACTGCCAATCACAAAACTGGACTCCACTGGACTCCCAGCACAAAACTGGACTCCACTGGACTGCAAGCACAAAACTGGACTGGACTGGACTGGACTGGACTGCAAATCACAAAACTGGACTGGACTGGACTCCACTGGACTCTCCCAACACAAAACTGGACTGGACTGGACTGCCACAGACCTAAGTTAATCCAGAATTCCTGAACTTAGACTTCAAAACAAAAAATAAAATTGAAGTGTATTTATTAATTAAATTAATTAAATTTACATAGATTCTATGTTACAGAGGGGGGAGGGAGGGGGAAGGGAAAGGGAAAGGGAGGGGAAAGAGAGGAATGAATAGGAGGGGGAAGAGAGGAATGAATAGGAGGGGGAGGGAGCAAGGAAGGGGGAAGGAAAGGGAGGGGGGGAGAGAGGAGCAAGGAAAGGGGGAGGGGGGAAAGGGGGAGAGAGTGAAGGGGGGAGGGAGTGGAGGGGCCTCGTCGCCGTTCAGCGCTGGCGGGCGCTCGTCGTTTTTCGGGTGTGGTGGGGGCGGCGTTTTCGTCGTTGCTCGTTCGTCGTCGTCGTCGCGTGTCGTTGTCCCGGCGTGTAGTCGTCGTCGTTGCGTGTCGTTGTCCCAGCATGTAGTCGTCGTTGTCGTCGTGTGTCGTCGTCGTCGCGTGTCGTCGTCATCGCGGTCGCGTGTCGTGGTCGTGGTCGTGGTCGTGTGTCGTCGTCCCGGCGTGTAGTCGTCGTCGTCGTCGTGTGTTGTCGTCCTCGCGCGTCGTCGTTGTCCTCGCATATCGTCGTCCTGGCGTGTCGTCGTCCTCGCGTGTCGTCGTCGTCGTGTGTTGTTGTCTTCGTGTCGTCGTTCTTGTGTGTCGTTGGCCTCCTCGTGTGTTGTTTTTGTTGTTGCGTGCCGCTGGCGCCTGTCGTGGTGAGTACGGGGCATTGGGGTGGTGGGGCAGACATACCCTTGGCCCATGACGTTGACACGTCATGGGCGCCGTCCCTCGTTCTTGGCCTGTCCTTCCACGTTGGCGTGGGCATGGGCGTGGGCGGCGTTGGCGTGGGCGGCGTTGATGTGGGCGGCGTTGATGTGGGCGGCGTTGATGTGGGCGGCGTTGGCGTGGGCAGTGATAGAGGTGGTGGTGGTGGAAGGGAATGGTGTGACCATGCCGCAAACAGGAGACGTGACGATATGGCACGCCCTCAAGTAAGTCACGTGACCTCACCCCGCAGACTGAACAAAATCATAAATCCTTATTGCAGCTATCACTGACCCACACTACATGTAAATTATAACCTTTCCTTTCATTGATCATTAAAATGTATACTCTATTTTCGCTTTTTTAGAAGTATTCATATATAATAATAATAATATACTGGAATGACTGGAATCCACTGGACTCCACTGGACTCTGACTGGACTCATAGTCCACTGGACTGGGACTGGACTCAGGAAAGTGGCTGGCAGTCCAGTGGGAGTCCAGTGGACTGGACTGGACTGGACTCCAGTGGACTGGGCATTCTGCCAGCCAATCTGGCCTGGTAAGAGGGCCACTGGAATCCACTGGAGTCCAGTGGAGTCCAGTGGAGTCCATATGGATTACGTGGGGGATGGTAAAGACCTCCTGACCTCGGCTCATCAAGCATCAATGTTCGATTTTCAGCACGTGGGCACTTCAACGAATGTGCCACCTGTTTCCCCGTCCTCGGCTCATCAGCCATCGATTTTCGATTTCCAGAAGCCTGGCAGATCTCCACCAGCCTTGGCTCGTCAGGCATCGATTTTTGATTTTCAGCAAGTGGGCACTTCAACGAATGTGCCGCCTGTTCCCCCGTCCTCGGCTCGTCAGGCATCCATTTTCGATTTCCAAAAGCCTGACATCCCTGCACCAGCCTCGGCTCGTCAGGCATCGATTTTTGATTTTCAGCAAGTGGACACTTCAACGAATGTGCCGCCTGTTCCCCCGTCCTCGGCTCGTCAGCCATCCATTTTCGATTTCCAAAAGCCTAACAACCCTGCACCAGCCTCGGCTAATAAAGGATCCCCTTTCGATTTTCAAGTCCATCGTTCATTTACCCCGGCCTCGGCTGTTCAGCCTTCCATTGATTTTCAAACACCTGGCACGTCTGCTCCAGCTCCTGCCTCTGACAAACCAGGCATGTCTTCCCCTGGCGCCTCAAGGTCCAATAGTACTCTGGGATCACGGAAGTATCTGACGAAATCACAAGAGGCCAAATTACGACTCCAGGGCCAAGGAGGAGCTGCCATTCTGCCAACTCAGCCAGGCGATGCCTTCGTTTTCGGCCTGGCTCCTGTCTTCGTCTACACTCAAGAGAGGACAACACCACGCCCACCACCTTCGACCGAATTGTTGGACTTGGATCCAAACTCCCCACGTGCAAGGGGTTTATGTCGCAAGTACAATATCAAGGTTGTGTCTGATGACAGCATTGGTGATCGCACGGGCGTGGTAGCCGAGGTCGTTCAGGCAATTGGCAAAGTGTGGGAAAGAGCTATGGACCCTGAGGCTTCATCCGACCCTTCGATTAGGAATTTGCAGGCCGCCTTTGATAAATTGTTGACGAGGGGAGATGAGTTTACTGAGATGGATCGTATGGACCTGGTTCGTCATAGCGAAATTCACCAGGAGGCGCTCAGATCCCTGCCTGACAGCATAGCGACAACGAGCCATTATCGGTATGTTTTGGCCACCTTGAGGAGGGAGAAAGACCGGTTGCGTGAACAAATCGATTCAGACCGTGATCTGGTTGCAGCAATGGACGTTGAAGATACCCGCTGCCAGATAGTGCTCACATTTAATTGGTCGTAAGACAAGCCTCCCGGCTCAATTAGTCAAATGAACACCTTTTCAACCCTTGCCTTTCATGATAGGAAAACATGATGAACTACGAAGTGACACTGCTGAAACCGGACACAGACTAACATCATTGAACATGCTATGTATTTCGCACCCGGGCATGAATGACTAACATCATTAAACATGATAGGTTTAACTGACGAATGAAACTTTCTTGGACCGGGTGGAACGAACACTTTCTTCAGCAATCTTTTTCGACCGTTCTTGGGTTACTATACCGAGTTCCCCTGTAGAAACCTTGCCTTTCATGATAGGACAAGGTTTTGGTTTTGGCTTGGTGGGGACATCAATAGATGGTTGCTGACTGGGACCGGCCTCTGACTCCTTTTGTTTTGAAGGGACTGGTCATTTTGCGTTGACACCACTTGACTTAGTGAAATCAAAGCTATTCGAAGCTTTGGTTGTGTCCGACCTCAGATTGGTTGCTTGAGCTGGTTTGACAGTGGCTTGGATAACAGCCGAGGCAGCTCGGCATTTGACTTTGCCTGGTCGGGCACTCCTCGGGCCAAGTTTGTAACCCTTCTCTAACCGATAGTGTTTGAAAGTTAGGTTAGTTAACCGGAAAATAACCGGAAAATAACCGGACCTAACCGCAACACTAACCTAACCGCAGTTAGGGTTAGTTGATTTTGAAAATGGAATAACCGGTTATTTTGCGGTTAACTAACCGTTAAATAACCGGTTATAACCGGTTATAACCAGCCCTATTATACACCTTCAAAACGCACTTTAGAACGTCAAAAACGCTTAAAATTTGACTAAGTTACGGTCAAATCTCTAAAATATCACTCAAATGTGTAGACTTTCAAGGATAATTGCATAAATATGTCAATTCTTCACCGATTTTAGCGTTCTTGGGCTCGTTTTAAAGCTAGAATATGCAGAAATAATATCTATCAAGATACATATGAGCATATTTGCCTTGTTATAACCGATTCTTTATTTTTCGGTCCTAACCGGTTAGTAACTGCAAATAACCGACCATAACTGGTTAGTTGCGGTCCGGTTAGGTTATTTTAGGTTTCGGGACAAAGGCTAACCGGTCTCGGTCTCGGTTAGAGCCCCTGGGCACCCAATAACCGGACCTAACCGGACTTTCGAACACTACTAACCGAGGAAACTTGCAGGGTGTATCCCTCTCATCA